TTGCTTTCCTTCTTTCTTCCCGCTTTCTTTCTGTTATTATGAGGAAATTTATTATCTTTGTTTACTTATTTAATAAGTTATCAATTATTGTTGATTACTTGTCTTGTTTATTTGTTTATTTTCATTGACGATTCCTCTAATTTGTGTGTTTATTTATTTTTCATTATTGTCGTATTTGTTTATTTGTTATATTTTATTATCAATGATTTATATTTTATTAATATTTATTTGTCTTCATTGTTTGTTTGTTTGTATGTATGTTTATTTACTTATCTATCTACTTATCATTATTGCTGATTCCTTCTCCCCTTCCTTTCCGCAGGAGGCTCACTTGTGACGGAGACGAGAAAGAGCGACCAAGGGAAGCAGAAAGAGAGGCGAAAGAGCGAAGGAGAGAAACACAAGGAAAGGGAAAAGAGGAGAGACGGAGAGAGAGCGAAAGGGACGAGCCACGGCAGCGATAAACTGAAGGAGAGGGAGAAGAAGGACAAGAAACTCGAGTATGAAAGGCTGAGGATCGGAGAGAGAGAGAAGAGAAGGAACGAGAGAGAGAAGGAGAAGAGGAAATCGCTCGAGCGGGAGAGGAAAGCGCCGAATGAGGAGGAGAAGAGGGAGAGGAAGAAGAGCGGCGAAGAGAGAGAGAGGAGGAAGAGCACAGACCGCGAGAAGCGAAGGAGCGAAGAAAAGGAGAGGAGAAGGAGCGAGGAGAGAGAGAGGAGGAGGAGTGAAGAACGGCTGAAAAGGAAGAGCCCGGAGAAAGCGAAGAGAGAAGGAGAGAGGAGGGAGAGGAGCCTCGATAAAGAATATGCGAGGCTGTCGCTCTCCCCCGAAAAGAGATTAAGGTAAGAAATGATGCGCTCGCGCTCTCACTCGCACTCGCACACGCACTCTCACACGCACTCTCACTCGCACTCTCACACGCACTCTCACTCTCACTCTCACACGCACTCTCACACGCACTCTCACACGCACTCTCACTCGCACTCTCACACGCACTCTCACTCGCACTCTAACTCGCACTTTCACTCGCTCTCATTCTCATTTTCACACGCACTTTCACTCTCACGTTCACTGTAATTCACAGTCACATTCACATTCTTATTCTCATTCTCACTCACGCGCACACTCACTCTTACTTTCACTCTTACTTTCACTCTTACTCGCACTCACATTCACACGAATTTTCACTCTTACTCTCACTTTCACTCTTATTCACACTCATTTTCACTGTCACTGTCACTCACCTTCACTCTCACTCACATTCACATTCATACTCATTTTCACTCGCACTCTCACTCTCACTTTCACATTTGTGCTCAAATACACTCACACTCTTGCTCACACTCACTCACGCAAGTGTGTATGCATCTGTACATCTGTTTCTTTGTATCTTTGTATCTTCGTATCTTTGTGTGTGTTTATATATATATATATATATATATATATATATATATATATATATATATATATATATATATATATATATATATATATATATGTATATATGTATGTATGTATGTATATGTATATATACATATACATATACATACATACGTATACCTATCACTAGATACATACATATACATATATATATATATATATATATATATATATATATATATATATATATATATATATATATATATATATATATAATTATATATGAATATATATATATATATATATATATATATATATATAATTATATATGAATATATATATTACATATGAATATATATATTATATATGAATATATATATTATATATGAATATATATACATATATATGGATATATATCCATATATATGTCCATATGTATATATATACATATACATATACATATACATATACATATACATATACATATACATATACATATACATATACATATATATATATATATATATATGTATATATATATATATATATATATATATATATATATATATATATATATATATATATATATAGATATATATATATATATATATATATATATATATATATATATATATATATATATATATATATGTATATGTATATGTATATGTATATATATACATATGGACATATATATGGATATATATCCATATATATGTATATATATTCATATATAATATATATATTCATATATAATATATATATTCATATGTAATATATATATTCATATATAATATATATATATATATATATATATATATATATATATATATATATATATATATATGTGTGTGTGTGTGTGTGTGTGTGTGTGTGTGTGTGTGTGTGTGTGTGTGTGTGTATGTATGTATGTATGTATGTATGTATGTATGTATGTATGTATGCATGTATGCATGTATGTATGTATATATGTATATATGTATGTATATATATATATATATATATATATATATATATATATATATATATATATATATATATATATGTATATATATATGTGTGTGTAAGTATGTGTGTGTAAATGTGTATATGTATATATGTGTATGAATATATATGTATACATACATATGTATGTATGTATCTATGTATTCATGTATGTGTGTGTTCGTGTGTCCACATAAGCAAAAGAAAACTCGGAAACTATTTTCATTAGCATTCGTAGGACTTTCCTAATGGCGTGTGCTCTTGGCCTGTGCAGCAGCAGCAGCGGAAGCGGCAGAATGGTCCAGCAGAGCGGCACCAGCGGCGGCGGCGGCGGCGGCGCAGGATCGCGCGGCGAGCAGGACGACCCCGAGCGCGCGGAGCTGGAGAGGAGGGAGAGGATCCAGAGATACAAGGATGAAAGGAGGAAGCAGATCGCGGCGAGGTGAGAGGGCGCGGGAGAGGGGCCTTTGATCTCTGCTGTGATGAGATGTTGACGTTTACAGTGTCTCTGCAGCGTGTTTTATATACCTTGAGGCTTATTATATATACACGTCCGTCCCCTATATATATTCCTGGTCAGCCCGTCTATCACAGCCAGTCAGACACAGAGCCAATTTGTCAATCAATCTATCAATCTCACCTCCCCCCCTTGAACAGGTATGGCACGGCGGAGTGGTCGTCCTCGGAGGAGAGCGGCACAGGCGAGGAGTCGTCCTACCGCGCCTACAGGAGGAGACGGCGGGGGGGTCGTGACAACAACGACTCCTCCACCAACGACCTGTCTTCTCAGGACGCCAAGAGGTGGGCGGACGTGGTTGTGGGCGGGATATTGTTCTTCCTTCTTGCATGTGATGAATAGGATCTTTTTCAGTCGCTGAATTATTCAAGCTGTGCGGCTCAGGAATGTGCTTTCTAATGAATGTCTCTAATGAATGACACAAAGTTGAAGGCTTATTTCACATGTCATGAATGTTACTTGTGAGGACAGTGTTGCAACTTGTGCCGTCCCCTTAGGCCGCACGAGAACGGGTCTTCCCTGGAGGGTCGTGGCAGCGGAGGTCGTCGCGGCGTGCTGGGCTCCTCGTCGGAGGACGTCGTCGCCGCCGGCGCCTCCGTCAGGACGACGCGGGCCTCGCGCCTCCGCCAGGCCGCGCTCACGTCGCCCAACGCCAACAACAACAACACAAACAGCAATAATAACAACAACAGCAGCGGCAACAACAACAACAACAACAGCTTTAACAGCAACAACAACAACAATGCCAATCCCGTGCAAGAAATGAAAGACACAGGTACGTTCTTTGTCATGGAAAGATTGTTGTTCTTTTATGGAGGAGGATGGGGAGAATTGTAAGGAAAATGATAATGATAATGATGACGATTACAATTATTATGATTATTATGTGTTGTTATTATTATTATTATTATTATTATTATTATTATTATTATTATTATTACTGTCACTATCATTACTATTATTATTGTTATTATTATTATTGTTGTCGTTAGTATGGTTATTGTTATCATTATCCATACTGTTATTTTTGTTAATGTTTTTATTATCATCATTATTATTATCACCATCATCATTGTTCTTTTTATGAATTACTGCTGTTGCCGTTCCTGTTATTATTATTAATTGTTCGACATTTTATTTTTCATAATTACTTTCGATATTATTATCACACTTTTACTAATGTTGGCATTATTACTACTTATGTAAAAGTAATTAATGTTTTATGATTAATAAGTCTGCTTGACTTATTGATTTTTACTATTATCTATTGATAATGTATTTAATAAGTGACACGATGATACTTAAAAATAATCCTTCCCTTCGCTTTGATAAATCTCTTGATTATGATCATGTCGCCGCCATCTTAGTATAACCAAAATCGAGATCAGAAATATGTCTTACTTCGACTTCTAGTTCAACAATATTCTCAACACATTTTGTGGGTCGTTCGTGGTTTTCGCCCTTTGTTTCTCGGGCTTTGCGGGACTCAGGGAGAGCACTGTGAGTCAGGGCGTACGGGGTCGAGGGAGGAGAGGAGGGAGAAGGGAGGAAAAGGGAGAAGAGGAGGGAGGAGGAGGAGGAAGGTGGGAAGAAGGGGGAAGGGAGGAGAGGAGGGAGGGGTGAAGGAGGGGGAAGAGAGGAGAGGAGGGAGGGGTGAAAAGGGGGAAGGGAGGAGTGGAGGGGAAGAGAGTAGAGGAGAGAGGGGAGGAAGAAGGGGTAAAGACAAGGGGAAGGAGGAAGGGAGGAAGGGGTGAGGGAGGGAGGAATAGTGGGAAGGAGAAGGAAGGATGGGGATGTCTAGAGGGAGAGGAGGGAGGGGAAGAAGGAAGGATGAGGGAAGAGGGCGATGGGAAGGAGAAAGAGGGAAGGGGGGTGTTAGGAGGGAGGGAGGGGAAGACAGGGAGGAGGAATGGACGAAAGGGATGATAGAGGAAAGAAGAAGGAAGGGAGGAAGGGTAAGGGAGGGTATTTCAGAAGGAGAAGAGTTAAGGGGGAAGGAAGAATGGCAGAAGGAGGCCGAAAAAAGAGTGAATGAAAATGGGGCAGAGATGGAGGGGGAGAGGAGGACGGCTTAGGAAGGGAGGGAGAGGAGAGGTGGGGGGGGGCAGTGGGCGGGGGA